CGGGGCTAGGGGCCTGAAAGGGGAGGGGGGGGGCAAACTTTGAAATTACAGACTTTTCATAAAACACAAGAATTTCAGCACACCTAACAGTTCACAACACACAAAACACAACACTCGACACGTCTTCACTTGTTCTCAACACACAACACACAACAAACAACACACCATCCTTTATTCACAGCACTCAACACATACAACAAAGAACACACAACAAAGCACTCATTGTTGCAGCACAGGAGAAGAAGCACACAGTCCACACACAGCGAGTGAGCACACACATTGGCACCTCTCAGAGTAGGCCGGTGAAAACAGTGTGAGGATTTTTGCTCATCTCACAATCGAAACGGTCAATAATCCATACTCACCCCCCCCCCCCCAAACCCCACATTTCCTTCGCTGCAGAATGAATGAGTCTTATTCTTAACTCTTCCATTAACCTATTTCTTATATCGTACAACAATCTAATAATAACAGGCTAGTAAAGAGTTGATTAATCCACCACTACCACACCAATTATTAGATTTTTAGATCTAGAATCAATACGTTTATTAATGATAGGCCTAAAAGCGAATTTATTATCAACGACGATGATTATGGTGGTGGTGGTGACGCTAGCTCCTGTAAAAGAATTCTCGAAGAGTTCGAAGCGCACATGTTTTGGATATTTAATTTCTTAAAATATGTTCTACATCTATTTAGAGTTATTGACTGAAAATCAGTCAAGACTCCCCTAGACTACTTAGCATTTTTCAAGAATGATGATGATGATGATTATTTTTTTTCTTCTATTTACGACGATGATGATGATGGTGATGATGGTGATACTATAAAGGACAACTACAGCATGGTAAACTTGCAACTCACCAACCCGTGAGCAAACAGAATGTTCCACACGCGCAGACACAAGTGATAGAGTAACCACCAGACCAGGACCTCTATCCACCACTGAAACAATAACCGCTGCCCTCGCTAATGTCTGGGATAGTTTGGTGACGTCAGCTCCTCTCTCCACACTCCCTGGGGGAAAGTTCAGGAGAAAACTGCCGGCAGACAGCGCGCGTGAGTGAGTGTTTGTGTGTGTGTGTGAGTGTGTGTGCGTAACGACAAAAAAGGCTCTAAATGTAACGAAGGAAGATGAGAAGGGGCGAGACAGGGTGAGTGAGGGTGGTAGGTTGTTTTATTTTTCATTTGGAGGAAAGGGGGAAGGGGTGGGGGTGCGGTGAACAGGAATTAGGGGGAGGGGACGGGGGAGGAGGGAGATTCAGGAATGCGGATGTTACACCCTTCCCACAGCGAGTTCTGACCCTCCCCTTCCAAGATCTCACTTGGCAGAGACTGGTCTAGGATCCTACTCACACAGAGCTGGTCACACTGACAGACAGGACAAGTGTATAATGTTTGAAACATCGTTCCACTTAACACAGACCAGTGCAGATTGCAGAATCTCCTTGGAGTAACCAGGGTTTTGGAGTAACCATATAACACACAGAGCTGGTCACACAGACAGACAGAGCAACTGCACAATGTTTTAAACATCGTTCCACTTTGTCGAGCACAGACTAGTGCAGAATCTTCCACTACAGAGCTGGTCACACGGACAAACTTATAGACAGGGCAACTGCACAATATTTTAGTCGTCTTATTTGGCACAAACTGTCAATGGTTGCGGCAAAGGGGGTGGGGAGGGGGATAAAGTGCGACCTAACTATTGTGTGAAGTGGCTGCTAGCTGCTAGCCTGACAGTCTAGCCTTACTTATATCTTAGCCCTATTGGACGAAACCTGTTGAGTACACAGGTCTCTTAGATCTAGTAATCATTCAGGCTTAAAATACAGTGGTTAGGCTCTCGGACTCGCAACCGTAAGGTCGTGGGTTCGAATCCCGTCAGGGACCCGACGTTGTGTCCTTGGGAAAGGCACT